TGAAGTGCGTCAAGGCACGTTACGGTGCTCACCAATCCCTTGACCCCTTGGTCCGGTATTTGGCCGATCCTGCAAGGCAGCGCTAGCAAAACCACTAGGTTTGCGCTAGTTTTTTTCAAACCCATGTTCAAGAATATTTGTTTGTGTTCCTGTCCGCTTGTTATTCCAACATGAATAAAAAAATAATAATAATCAAGATGTAACTGTTAGCTCCTTAAACCTAAGGATGTCTTAGTGAATTTCTGTGCTACTCAGCAATTTTCCTATATATTTGAGGTTGCGGCTCAATGTTGCGAATATGTACGTAATTTTACCCGCTAGCAATTGGCAAAAAACATTAAAAAAAAACAGTTTTGATTGACCCGTGACGCATTCGCCTCCAGAGAACTTGTGGTGTATCTGTTTGACAAAAGCAACAGCGACAGCAAAGGCAGCGACCAGCCCTGCAGATATTCCAGTTCCACCACTAAAAACTAGCAGCGGCAACCACTTCGTATAGACGCGCGTTAGCATTTACTGCATGTTTTAGCTACGGTTTCAAACACGAAAATTCAAAATCAATAAAAAATCAGGGTTTCAGACTATTTGGGTAAGTCATGTTTTTTAAGACCAAATAAGAAGCCGCACACAAGGAATTGCGATTTATCAACCGAACCAGGAAAATGCATTTTGGCAAACCGTCAGACACACACACACATATATATATATACCAGCACAGCCAAGATTGCAAGAATTCCTACAACAGTTCAAGAATCGTATTTTTTCTGGAATTCTCGCAATTCTCCGGTTGTCCCCGTAAATTCTCGCAACACAAGGAAATTCTCGCAATTCTCCGCCTTTTGCCCCTTTTCCCTGTTTTTCATGTTTATTTTATATTTCATCATCATTCAAGAGCTAACGTCTCAAGGACGTCATGTACTGGCCATATATGCCCGATGAACCGTAGTTTTGATATGTTTTGGGTTATTTTATTCCGCTAAAACGGCTGATCCCCACAAAGCTGCCATGTTTCGTACCACAAGGAATTTAAGCCCCCAGTTGTTTTTTTTTAGATGTGCAAGTTTCTGTTTGGAACTTTAAAGAAAAGCAGTCCTTGTACAGGAACCAGACTTGAAAAAATACAGTGAATCTCTTGTAAACTTAGGGCGAAAAAAACAACAAATCGTAATTCAAATAAATACCAAAATCACTGTAAGCATGCCAACCCTGTAGGGAAAACCAACCTCAAAAATCAACTGCAACAGTTTGGCCTAGGAGACGGCAGACACCAAACCTGTCCAAAACCCTAGCAACTTTCAAGGTGGAGCTTAGATCTACATGCTAGTGCAGGTTCCACAATGTTCTTCAATTCCAAAACAAATGAAGTTTCCGATGTTTCTTTCCTGCAAGGGCTAGGGATGATTTTGTTATTACGGCCGATTACAGCCTTATATTCAAAAATGTTTTTCAGTTCATTTTTCCGAAACTTAAAAGGTCCTTTATTCCCCGCCACAGGCGCCAACTTCTAGGATCCACCTTCAAAGCCTTGAAAATTCGGAACATACGTTACGAAGACTTTGGAACTTAAGTTCTTTTGGCCGCTGGCAGGCAGTCACACCTAATTACGTTCCAAGGTTGCATTAAAGTCCGAAATTTGGAACTTAAGGTTTTTGGCCGGACACAGGCACCGCGACAGTGGGATTTGTTTTTTAATCAACATGTTATAAGTATTTTTCTTGGTCCGCAGCAAACGGATTTTTTGGTCCACACTTAGGTTCAGTTTGTTTTAATTTTATTTTTTGAACTTAAGCTTCTTGTGGGCCCGCTGCAGGAGGAAAAAAAATGATTGCCCAACTCTGAAATTGTGCTTCAAGATTTGCAAACGTTGGATATGCCTACCGCAAGCGTTTGATTTACTGTTTTAATCACAAATCCTTACAATTTGCCATTGTACTACAGGATTGATTAAAGGATATTGAAGGTATATAATTAACTAAAGTCAAAGGATGTCAAAGGCACTCGGCTGTCAGGTTGGCCTAGTCCAACAATGATCCCTTCGTGCAACAACATGTATTTCTTGTTGTTTGAGCACGTATTTTCTGTTTTGTTTTGCGGGTAGAGCTACTAATTACTTCTCAAGATCTATCGCTTGGAATTTGGATCAATTTCATTGTTTTTGGCTTGCCAAGTTTCCAACAGCAATGTAATTGTAGCAACTTTAGCCGCATGTTTTGGACAATAGTGGAAACAAATTGTCTCTCCTAATGTCCATCAACCATGGGTTCTTCAAGGCAGCAGACATGGTGTCATAAAACTCTAAAGGCAAAGAAAAATCATTATAGCGGCAATTTTTTGCTACTTAGGCCAGGGGGAAAACGATGTAAGCCTCAGAGTTCTTATATTCAACAAAAAACCAGTCTCTGCCCGCAAAATGCTGGGTACAAAGCCGCCAAAGAAGTGAATCGGGTTCAGAGCCAGTTCAAAGAAGTTCCAAGGCTTGCTTTTGAAATCTTTTGAGTTTAACTCATGTTATTCAGAACAGGTAGTATCCAAGAACCAATCATCTACGGAAAAACAACACGTGATTTACATATGTTACATGCGAATCAATTGCAGCGACCTCAACTCTATTTTTCAGTTTTTTTTGCGTCAAACCTGCCTCATGCAGTGACTTTGAAGCATTTTTTCACATGTGGCGCATGCAGTCCACAAATTTGATGAATTTTGCTTACGTCACCTGATCTTTCCTGCATAGTTGGCACATTGTTGCACGTATGAATTCCTGCAATTTCTCCGCCCTTTCTCGCAATTTTTTCTCGCAACTTCTACGCATATTCTCGCAACTTCTCCGGGTGCATATTTTGCAGGAATTTCTCCGTTTGTATTTTTAATTTCTCCGGTTGTAGTAATTGTTGTTGGTTTCTGTTTGTTTTCCTATAGGCACACAGTTTTGATCAAAGTTCTTAAAAACAAGCTTGCTTTTGGCGATCAAGGTATCTAAAACGTATCGAACCCATCATACATGGAATTACATCAACAAGCAAAGCTTCAGACTGCACATCTCCCACAGGCACGTGGCCAATGATTGCAGGTATGGCAGTTTATCCTTGTTTTCCATTATCTGTTCCGTCACCGGCGTCAAAATTTCAGCACCGAACTACAAATTTGCATTGGTCTTGGGATTATATATTGCCTTTGACTGCCACCAACTTCTTGCCCGGAAACTTTTTTATCATCAAGCTCTGGAAGTCCTGAAGCAAGCCCCTCTCCATCCTGATATATCCTCCCTGATATCCCTAAGGATCTCGATCCCTGGTTCTTAAACTTAAACTTATTCTATGGAGCAAGCCACATGCCAAATCTTTACGTTTATACATGTGCAGGTTATACTGTACATGACTTCACTTCGCGTCCAAACCACTTACTATTTCTGATGTGACATTCCGTTCTTGTAGGGCGTAGTAGCCAATTTGCCCCCAAACTAAGCTACCTTGCATTAATTCTTCGTCGCATCGTCTATTTTATCACGGCTACATTACTTTTTCTGCGCTTGAGATTCTAAATCTGAACGACTTCCATCACGTATGATGTTACAGTAGTTTAGTATGAACAAAACAAGTAAAATAAAACCTTCCAATCATTAAATGTTCTCTCTGTTTTCCATCACTTTATTGTCCAAGCCTTAAGTCAACTCTGCAGATTGACTCGACGGGCTGTAAAGAGATTAAATTGACACGAGTTGTTTCTTGCTTAACCCAATGCCCTGGATGTTAATCTAAGTTCTATTCTTACCATTCCTTTTCACAAGTCAATTAGTTGCATCATTTCCGTTGAAGCACCCGTAATCTCTATGTAAATAGGTTCTGCAACCGTCAGCCCAACCAACCAGTAACTTAAATGAATAAATCACTCCAAATTAGTTTCACTGAGTTTTACAGCCTGAAAACCATGTTATTAATTCTATTTATGTAAGTCAGGTTAAATCAATCTAAATTAAGTTCGGCTATAAATCGTTGAAACCGGAAACTATGAAATTATAGTTGTCTTCAAACATTGTCCGCGGCTTAATTTAAGCCATTTTGTGAATTAAGTTGCACCTGTTTTTCTTTTTTTGCCCAAGTTAGACAGAGTCTTGAATCCAATCGACCTCCAAACATGCCAGCAGCATCCCGGAAGTAAGAACACCATCGACGTGGCGCATTCCATACCAAAACTGCGGTAAAGGTCAATCCCACATGTATCCCTTTCGTTTTCCCAAATTCTGGCTTCTCTTTTCCTAATCGTAAGAATTCTTTGCGGTTCACACAGAATTGTACTTGTTTTTCAATGTTCCTTTGGTTTAGGCTTAGCTATTGTTGGTTATGATACAGTTGACCAAATCTATCACATTTCACTTCACTTAATACAAAATTTCACACACTCAATATAGATTAAAAATCTATAAAAATCTATCACATTTCACTTCACTTGATTTATTTTTCAGATATAACTGAAGATTAGTTGATCTATCGCACGTAATTTTGATTAAAGTTTAATCTATCGCACTGGAATTGTCTTTAAGCTGAATTTAAACCCATCACACTTAAGACGTTCATTTACTAACTTAAATCATCAAAAACGTGGTTGTCAAACGATCAACTTTTTAAATGTTTCAGAAAAACTAAATTGAAACCGACATAATGCTACTAAAAAATGCTTAAATCGTTCATATCAAACATACATGAGCAGCACGCGATTTTAAGCAATAGAAATTGCCTGGGTTGCACACTGAAAACCTAAGAAATTGATCTTACATCCTACCCCCAAATTCTCGCAACTGTTTTGCGAATCGCAGGAATTCCTGCAACTCCCCCAAAATCTGTTTTTTTTAATCATAGTTTTCACGCTTAGCTGGTATATATATATATATATTACTCCATTACAGTATATAAAACTGCCGAAAAACCGCGTATTTTTTTTACACATTTTTCCAGTTCCATGGCCCCCCCTCTTTTTTTGGGTTGCGAAAGCCGGGCTCTGAGGAGCGCCAGCCGGCACTTGAACGGCAACTGGGTGAGAAATGGTCGCCAACCAATGTCCAAACATATGGGGTGAAACTACCAGGTGAGTTTTTCATACCGATCAAGAAAGGCAAGTCAAATAGATGATAATATGGGATAAAAATTGGAAAACATCATGATGGAGTAATATATACAATATATATATATACACGTATATACACGCATTAAATGCTAATTTCCACACGCTTGTTGAAGGTGTTTTTTTGCCAAGTTTCCCAAAGTTCGTCAAGACTGGGTTTTCCACTACAAAATCATATAAATGCAACATTATCATTGTTTACGGTGAATGCCTTCCTTATGATATTATTTTCTCAGAAACCATGGTAGAGTATCGTTTTTTTTTCGGCAGGGGCCGTGTTGGAGGTAATATGATGATCGGCGGATGGGTCTAAACCATAAATATTGATACGTTTTTTCGCGCTCATGCAGCATCCTCGAGCCGATTACATATGAATACTCCAAGAATCCACCAAGTATGCCCAAAAATCCATCACAAAAATCCAAAAACACCCCTATAATTTTACTATTAACGAACTATCTCCACATACATGTTTTCATTATTATTGGTGGGTGGTCCGATTTTGATGATTTGAATCATCTTAATTGTTGATGATTATACTTAAATATGTGCAACCCCAGTTATATATCTTTATTGGCTTACTTTCCAACTCATTACAGTAACTAGCTGTGTTTTATCTACCACACATCATGGTTGTGCTCTTTGTGTTTACCAACTTAGCTATAATTAATAAATTTAATCGACCTATCAATATTCATTTGTTTTGTTAAAATTCTAGGATGTTTCACCATGTGCCCATTAAATTCGAACTGTTGATGTTACAGTATATCTATGTATATCTACCATAAATCCAACAGTTAAGTGAGTGAACTAAACCGACTACTAGGTTAGCTAATTCAATCCCGTTATATTCAATTCTTATCCCATTACTTCTTTCCATGCACGGTGAAATGCCACTTTTTTGTGTATACATCAACCATCAATCGTGATGTGTAGTTGATTGGTGGAATATAAATGTTGATTAAAAATAATAACAACCAACCAATGGATACATATTTTTTAATCAATGGATATTATTGATATCATACATTAGTTAATGCTATACCATTAATACGATTAATCAGAGTTGATTTTTTAATATTAGTTAAATGTGTAATCGTTGTTCATTTAACCCATCGATGATATTCTCAATGGATTGGTTTAAGGGGCCATTTACAGGAAAACCACTATATTTACAGTCAGCTTCACTGTAATCGGAAAAATTGTGGTTGTTGGTTAAACTTGTCTCTTAAACCAATCCATTGATATTAATGAAGTATTACCCTCTGGTAAACGTTTACAATCGTTTACATATCTATTGAACCATTTGTAATAGGTAAATCAACTATACATGGCCATGGCTTCAATAGCTATATGTTAGTTTACCAGACCCATATGCTCCATGTATGGTATACTTACCATTATTTACCTACATTTAGGTGATTTTTCTCGGGCAAATGTAGGTAAATATTCCAGCACCATGGAGCATATAGGTATGTACCTATTATTTACTCACTATTTTGGCGGAATCAAAAAAACACGAAGCTATTGAACCATTTGTACTAGGTAAATCAACTATAAATGGCCATAGCTTCAAAAGCGATATATATATAATATTATATTATGTTAGTTTACCAGAGGGTATAGCCAAGTTCCATGATGTTTACGTTATGTTAGCTCCACCACATGGCAGGCACGCCACGGCCCATCGTGGCATCACCCAAGTCGCGCAGCAGCTCAGCGGCGCCCATGGGCCGACCACAGGCGCCTGCGGGACGGGTTTGTGATGGATTTGCCTTATAGATCCCTACAAGGTGGTGCCCCCCCCCCCAGTGATGGAACGTTGATAATCCCATTGATACCATCCAAGACTAAAGGATTAGTTTCTCCCCATCTAAGATTGACCTAGTAACTGTTAATGGCCGTACAATGTGGTGCCCCCAGTGATAAATTGGTTTATACACCCTAGTAAGTATAGGTAGATATATATATATATATATCTATATCTATATCTACCATAAACCAGAATTGTTGGAGTTACTGGCACCAATTTAGCAAAGTATGGGGCAACCACCTTGTATTGGTAATTTAAGAGTTTGCGAACTGGAAAATGGATGAACATGGTCCATTTGATGATGTACCTATTAAACATGGTGATTATCCATAGCTATGTTTAATTCTAGATCTTTATATGTATTATATGTGTATATATATATACATCATTAAGTAAGATCTATATCATACCCTCTTGTAAACGCTTACATAACTATTGAACATCACCATGTTTAATAGGTAAATCAAGGAACTAAATGGGCCATGTCCAATAGCTATGTTAAATTACCAGAGAGTATGGGATTTTAGAAACATTGGAGGAAACTAGTGCTACCCAATGCTATTCATATCTACCATAGTTGGATCTACTAGGATGTACTTGGGTAGAAACTAATCCTTACCTGGTTGGTGGTTTGGAACATGAATTTTATTTTTCCATTCAGTTGGGAGAGATAATCCCATCTGACTTTCATATTTCTTCAGAAGGGTTGAAACCACCGACCAGTGACTAGTTTGTGTTTTTTTAATACTATAGATATGTGGAAAATCAAAGTAAAAGTAAACAGCATAAGTTTTTTTTGTTGACGATGAAAGATTGCTTATTTACAGCACCCCCCCAATTTCAGTGGTTTTCGGGAAAAGTTAGAAACCTGGAAATTTCGGGGAAAACATCATCGAACGACAATGGATGAGTTGAATGATAACAATGGGATGACAGTGGGATAATAATTATAGTACAACAGTTGTAATTATGACAGTGGGATAATAATATAAATAATAGACAGTTGATTATATTATTATCCACATAATTATTATCTACCCATAATAATAGTGGACTTTATGGGATTATAATGGACTACAATTGTCGTACAATCCCTTGTTGATGGCATTATAGTTGAATTATAATGGATAATAAGGGACACATGGGATTATAATGGACTTTAAGCAATGGACTTTAAGCAATGGTGAATCATCCCCAAATGGCCGTATGGAACGTATTTTCAGGAAGCAGATCTTCAATTTCTTCAGCACTCTTCTTTTGGTAAAGCAATGGCTACATTAACCTATATTAACCTACAACTGGTTGCGGCAATTGGTTTGGCCAGCGACTGACACTGGCCCTTTGAACTGCACAACTGGTATCACATGGGTTGAGCGGTTGATTTGTCGTGAATGTTTTGTAACAAACAGTATGTGCCGCGCTTGCGTACAACGTGAGGCCCCCAAGATAGCTAAGTTGGTGAACATAACTCCGATAACTATGGTTTATGGTACTTATAACTATACTTACTGGGGCGAATCTAAACCAACTTATAACTGCGGGGCCTCACATTGTAAGGATCACCTGGGTATCATGCGACTTTGCTTTGTTTCTGGTTACCAAGCTGCTAAGGAACGAGGTATGTCGTTTACTGAATGTGGTACAATGATACAGAAGATGATTGACAACACCTGCGCATTACTACCACAACAAATTTTCCCAGCGGACCTTGTGCGTGGTAAGGTCAGTTTTCTCTACAGGTTGGGTTCAAACAGATGGCACCAGGGATTTCCCAAAAGACCCCAGATGCCATGTCAAGACAAAGTTGTTCAATTTCTGGCAAACACTTTTTCTGGATGTATGCAAGGACTGAATGGCACACCCGAAGTGCCAGTGGAACTTGGTAGTGATTCGGTTGGAAAAGGAACTTGGGCTCATCGTGCTTCACTCGCTAAGACGGCAATGGTAAAAACCACGAAAAGCCGCTTGGCACTTAATTGACCATGGACCTCGTGCGAATGTGTGCTCTCTTGGCCCGTCGGCGGGGAGGGTGCACTCTTGGAGCAAGTGAACAGCAACAGCTAAGCAGCTATTTTCATCTATTTTCAGGTTGGTGAATGATGTGATTCAGCCAGAACAATGGGTAAATACTGGGTAAATAATGAATAAATACTGGGTAAATAATGGGTAAATATATAATGGGTAAATGATGTGTAAATGATGTGTAAATAGTATGATCTAAAACTGAGATAACAACGGACTTCTAATCCAGGATCTTTAGGGATTAGCCATGAAAAACAGGCTTATAGCAAGGGGGGAACCAAAAAAAAGTAGTTTGATTCTGTGGGGTGTTGCGAGTTCGCAACCCTGACTTGACTTGACCAGCAAAGATCTTTGCTTCAAACTGGTGAAATCAAGAAACCAAGAAATGGCTCTTTTCAACGGCGATTTTGACTGGTTTGTGTCTGGGTTTTGGCCGTTTGACCTTGAAAACCATGGCTTTGTGATTTGTGATTTTCCCAGAAGGATTTTCCCTGGGTACGTGCACCTTCCATTCCGGTTTATGCATGGGATATGTCGGAATAGACTCCAGGAAACCATCAATGGAAATGTCAAGACCATCAAAGGACAGTACTGTCCCCAAATACTGCATCTGGTTGGTGGTTTGGAACATTTTTTATTTTTCCATTCAGTGCGGAATAATAATCCCAACTGATTAATATTTTTCAGAATGGTTGAAACCACTAACCAGGCATGTTTTTGTTTTTTTTTCTGGGGATCTTCCCTGTAGGCATAACACAGACATAGACCTAGACCTCTAATTTAGGTCGAAACATTCGCTGATCGATCCTAGTTAGTTTTTTCCTTGTTTGTTGCTTTATTGCCCCTCTATCATGTCACTATAGTTTTAGATTGCCCATCTATGATGTAACTCTAGTTGCACAAGTGTTGTATAACAGGCTTAATCACCATAAACCCAACATTTCCCCTAGTTTTACCATGTCAAAAACCTCTTTCCTAACACTGAAACACCACCTCGGTCCAGGCAGGGCTCAACGCAGAGATGAAAATCCGGAAATGGCTCGACACCATCCCTATCGGCCACTGAAATCATTGCTGTGGGCCATGGGATGCCCTTTTTTGGGGTGAAAAAAAATCATTGGATTCTGTGGGTTTCAGCCAGGTAACATGGAATAACCATGTTTTAGCCAGTTAGATGAATGACATATGTGCCATGGATTCTATACAATGTGAGGCCCCCAAACCTGATGTGAACGTTGGTTTAGATTCGCCCCAGTAACTATAGTTATTCGTTATTTGCGTACCATAGACCATAGTGAAATTGGAGTTATGTTCACCAACTGAACGCTATCTTGGGGGCCTCACATTGTTGGATTCTGTGGGTTTCTTAGGTAACATGGAATAACCATATTTTAGCCAGTTAGATGAATGATATATACGTGCCATGGTGAAGAAAAAATGGATTCTGTTCCCATATTTGGGATGGTACATATGGATTTCTGTTAGCGTCTTTTTTCGTTGATTCCCAGTAACAGTATGGGCTGATCAAAAGACAGTTCATGGCGAAAGTGGGATGCCTGGCAGCCCTGACACAGTGGGCAGATAAGTCCCGGCTACGGGTGATTGAACATCTAAGGCAAAGCGGCGTTCACCAAAGAAGTTTGGGGGATTAGTGCAAAAGTTTTTGGTGTTTCTTCTTCACCACTGGTGGAAAAAAATGCGATATCTCAAACATTGCTGGATTAGCTCTATTTTTTGTAACTTTAAACTTTGGTTTGGTTGAGTTGGCCGATCCCAATGGCCCAAGCTACAAAAAGAAGAAGAATCCTGAGAAGAAAATCCTCTCAGCCAACTATTGGTCATTATTGGTCTTCTTATAGGAATTAAATCCTCTCAGCCGACACTATATCCCAAGACCAACATTATTGGCTGAAGAATGTATTTAAATTGGTCTTGGTCATTAGTGTTGGTCCCAGCGGCTTCCAGAGCGGTCGATTCTGCCTCCTGTTTCCATGGCATGTTTTTTGGGGAACCGAACATGATGGACACAGATTCCCATGTTGCTGGCTCTTATGGGAGCATCATAGAATTGGATGATGGGAAAATTTTAACCGGAAAAGCCTATATTTGATGGTAAAAACCATAGTTTCCGGTTAAGATTTTCCCTTAAAGCAATCCATTGAGAGTAGTACGGCAGCATTTCATTGTTTTTGGGAAACTTGATTGATCAAGTGTTGCTTCGAATCTCACTTCGGTTGCTTCAAGAATTTGCTTGGCAGCTATCCTCTTCCTCAGGTGCTCCACCCCCGAGCTGATACTGCAAGTGCTCACAAGATACCCTCTGGTAATGACTAACATAGCTATTGAAAATGGCCATAGAAATAGTGGATTTTCCCATTAAAAATTGTCATTTTCAATAGCTATGTTAAATTACCAGAGGGTACTTCAACAGATCATGAAATGACCCATGTTTGAAGAAAGTCTTGTGACGATCCCTTCCTCTTTTGTTCAATTCAGGAAACGGCTCTGAAAGAGGTTGGGATGATGCGCAGATCCGTGGCTTGACTGCACCCCCGGATGCTTCAAGGAAGGCTTGGCTGCATTACATTGTTTTTTTTTTAAACGGGTTGGTGGTTTGCAACATTTTTTATTTTTCCATACAGTTGGGAATATATAATAATCCCAACTGACTTTCATATTTTTCAGAGGGGTTGAAACCACCAACCACATCAAATTCATTGCCTCAAATGAGCCCACTGGGATTTGTAACGGTCCAGAAACAGCTTGACCCTGGTTCATTAGCATGTTTTAACTCTTATATACTGTTGTCATATTTTACTAGCTTGTTTCATAGGCTTTTGTATAGTCTATGGATTGAGAATCCCGTCCTCAACCAATGTTTGCTGTTGAGTGCCCCGACGGCCGAAACACCTCATTTCGTGGATGGATATTGTCATTTTACAGCCATGGAGGAAGGCATTGTCAAGGGTTGCATTGTACTCTCATACAGGGGGTGGTTTGGAACATTTGTTGGGAATAATGATCCCAACTGACTAATATATATCAGAGGGGTTGAAACCACCAACCAGTAGGGATTTGCATTGGCCAACATCGGGATTCCAAATATGCCAATATAGGCCAATTGTGCCAATTGTCACATGCCAAAGGCCCCTTGTTGCACACACCCTGAGGTAAGCAACATGTGGGTTCGTTTGAAAGCAGGGTGCCACAAAATCTCACGGTTGTTCATCATGTTTCCCATGAAACATCACAACATGGGGTGTAGGAAAGCCGAAAGAAGGTGATGCTCCTCAGCTATAAGTTGCTTGATAAACCCATTAACTATAGTCATATCCCCAAAAAAGAATGTCATAAACCCTAGAGTTAAACCAAGCGAACTGTGTGTCAACTTAGCTATCTATATATGGCCTCATCCCTTCGCCCATGGTTACCATGGTGGATGTAGGAGATTAAATCGCAAGGATCACAAGGAATCACCTGAATGGGGGTTCTTTAATATCAGGTGGCAGGGATTTTACAATGTGAGGCCCCCCAGTTATGTGAATGGTGGGTAACAAGAGCCCCAGTAACTATAGTTACAAGTACCATAAACCAGTTTGTGAAATTGGAGTTATGTGAACCCCAGCTCAACGCTATCGAACGGGCGCCTCACATTGGACCCTTGGCATGGAACACCCATTTCCAACTCAGCTGACAACGCAGGGCAAATCGCTTCCTTCGCGCACAAGAATCATCTTAGCAGCTCGAATGGATGATGTTTTGGGGGTAGCGGGTAGCCCCATTTTAGGATGGCTATTTAGTGGGTATAGCACCCCAAAAAAATGATAAAAGAGAAACACACATAGAAGAGTCAATTCCTTCTAAAAACGATGTAAATAAACATATACACAGTTTTTTGTCAGGGCTACTATATGCAACAACTATAAAAATTGTCTGTTGCAATCAAAGGCTGTGACCACACCAGCATGTGGAGAGATGGTCTGTCAAAAAATCATTAGAATACCTGAAAGTTGGGATATTTAGGGGAACCCCCCATTCCCAATGGATTACCCTCTGGTAATTTGTTATCGTTTGCGACATAGAACATGGCTGACATGGCCCAGTCGAAAGTTCGTGGATTTACCCAGCTACAAAATGGTGGATCTTTCCATAGTTATGTAAACGTTGACCAGTGGATTAGAAACTCGTGTTCTCTATTGAATAGTTATTTCATGTAGCCCATGGCGTTGAGAGGCTTCATATCAAAGGTTCGCCATGCTGGGATACCATTGCGATGTTGACGGCTGGTGGTTTATCCTCAAATTCAACGATGGTTTGTGGCAGTCGGTGCTTCAAACACCATTTGTATGCTGCTTAAACCACAGAACTCATGAACTCCGACTGCAGGTCATTTGCCGCCTGAACAGCTCTATCAAAGGCGGGTTTCCGCATTGGAATGTGTTGTTTAACGGACCAAATTCATATCAGATAGATTTCCCTCGAGATTTTATCCAAAGGTATAGTTTAGGGCGAGCAGGAGTTGTCATGCGTGACACGCTCTTGATACCAACTGCAAGATGCAAAGATACCAACATCACCTGGGCTGATTCTAATTCTGTTGAACCCTTCACACAATGTGAGGCCCCCAAGATAGCTAAGTTGGTTTAGAACTCCAATAACTATGGTTTATGGTACTTATAACTATAGTTACTGGGGCTTATAAACCAACTTATAACTGGGGGGCCTCACACTGCAGGAATGAACATTTCATGATCTAGACTTTTTGCTGGGTGATGCTCCTGACATTGCTTGAGATGTCGTGGCGGATTTCACCATGACTTGCCTGGGAGTCGGATGTTAATCCACTTACCCAACCTGGTTATTTAACGTAGCCATGGTATAGATGGTCCATTTATAGATGATTTACCTATTAATAGCATGGTGGATCTTTCCATGGCAAACTGTGAACGTCATAACCAGAGAGTACATCTGGCGTTTCAGAGATGGTGATGTATTGATTTGCCATGAAATTCATCAGGACTGGGGAATCTATGGCAGCCATACCCTCTGGTAAACGTTTACATAACTATGGAAAATCACCATGTTTAATGGGAAAATCCACTATAAATGGCCATTTTCAATAGCAAACTGTTAGTTTATCAGAGGGTATGTGTTTTCAGCTTGGGGATTCCATAAGCTCCAAGGTCTTCGCCGTTCTCTCGTCCCGTTGTCCGGCCAGGTATGTAGAGAATCAGGTCGCTGAGGCTGAGAATTCCTGAGACCCAGGCATTGAATGGTGACTCTGTAAAGAACGGAGGATTTTTTGATGAAAAGATGGTACCTGGGTAAATTAGAGATAGATATGGATATGATATATGATATAGATACAAGGTGGTGCCCCATAGTTAGCTAAGTTGGTTTATAAGTCCAAAAACTAGAGTTTATGGGGGTTATATCTATAGTTAATGGGGATTATAAACCAACTTATAACTATGGGGGCACCACCTTGTATAGAGATATATGATATAGATATATAGATATATAGATATATAGATATATGATCTGGGTAAATTTCATTACGACCGAACCATGGTCTCCCGAAGCCTGGAATCAGGGTTTTAAAGGGAAATCATCCCCTTTTATGGCTGAACTATTCAGGTTTGTGAAGTATTATAATTTACCCATATATATATATATATATGTGCACATGTATGTATATATATATATGGCTTATAAACCAACTGAAATAGCTGGAACAGTTTGAATGGTGTTTCGATGTTTTGAGACCCCATGTAGTTGACTCCTCGAAAACAACGAGGAAGTTACCCTCCGGTAAACGTTTACATCACCATGGAAAAACACCATTTTGTAGCTGGGTAAATCCACTATTTCGACTGGGCCATTTTCAATAGCTATGTAAACGTTTACCAGAGGGTACCACTAAATCACTAAATTCACTACGATGTGTGCTTGCCCGTGGAAGAAACCATGAGAATCCTGACAAATCATTATGGACCTTCTTGTTTGAGATAGCCTTTGCCTCTTGCAAAGGCACCCAAGAAGTGACCCCATTTTTTTGGATGAATTCGTTTCGATTTCATTGGGCAATCCAGGACTCTGTCAGGTCTGGGTCGGAGCAAATTGCTGATAGATGGTCCCTTCATGTCCCCAAAAAGGGCGGCATGGGCCAACGTTCCGCAAACGTTTCGTGCTGGGTGCATGGCAGATCATGGCAGCCCGGCAGCCGTCACCATGACAAAAGCAGCAGATCGATGAATTTGATTTATACATCCCCTAAGTTAAACATGGAACCTGAAACATGGAACTTGAAAAATAGGGTTTAGAAGACGATTTTCCGATATGGCAAGTTGATGTAATTTGTGGGTTGCATGTGATATTTACCCTCCAGTAAACTAACATAGCTATGGAAAATCACAATTTTTAATTAGTAAATCAACTATATCATCCATTTTCCATAGCTATGTTAGTTTACCCAGAGGGTAGAGCTTGAAGGCTTGTATGCACCTCTTTTTCCATTTCTAGTTCATGTTTTGCCAGAAGTAGGTTTGCAAATAAAACTCCCCGCTGGCAGGATTAAAGAAACTACCCACATTATGGCACCCAAGAAGATAGAAGAGTTGGAATCCTGCAAAATCAATGGGAATGTCAGGATCCTAAAATGGAGGTACGTTAGTACCATATAAGGCCATATTTTGTGGGGGTATTCCCTGAAATTAAGGCCAAAAATATATGGAATCGGTACCTCCAATCAATCGGTTCCCGAAATGGCCATTGACAAAATGGCAGAAAAACATCATCAAACTCCCTGGTAGCGCACATGAAAGTCGCATCACGTGTGATAGCCATTCCCAGCGACGTAGTGTTAATGCAGGTGATGCGACCACCAGAGACAGATTCAAAAAGGCTCCTGGTTGGGTGGTTCGAACATGTTTGAAATATGGGGGTTTCCTACTGTGGATGGGCCAGCGAAATCCTGCACCACCAATTTTGGATGTTTGAAAGCCTATAAATAGTGGGATGTTTACCATCTATCAACTGGTGATTCGGATATCGCTGGCCCATCCACAGTAGAATGGTTGTACCGTGTACCCCAATAGCTGGTTGGTTTAATCAATGTTTACAATGGAAAATCCTAACTATAGATGGATGATTATAAATGGGTACCCCGATTTATGGAACCCCCCTATCTTTTTTCGCAGGAAGCAAAACCGGCAAAACCCACCCACCCAATACTATATATCCCCTAGACCCATTGATTGAGGTCCCATAGGGGTCTGCTTAATAATATATAGCAGGGGGGCAGGGCTAGTATGATTCTTGATCATGGATGAGCAGGCCGCCAGTCAACGAAATCAAACCAGATATTTCTTTGCGAGTGTAAGCAATAAAAGCAATGATATTACAGTTGTGTTGACTTAAAAATTGGGAGACTATACAAGTGATGATATTGTATGTAGTGAGAATGTAGACCAGTTTGTTGGTAAATCCCACATATTGTTGGATAGATCTCTGCTTTTGAGGGATGTATCTCCAGTCTTCTTGTGTGAGTCTTCGTGTTTCTGTCGGCAAAATTCATTCTTCCTGTCGAAATTATTATTCGTCTCAATCCAACGCCCATATCCACATCTTTCGAGCGAAGTCCACATTTTCCTGTTTTTTTCGTCATAGTTGAAACCACTAGGTTAAACCTGGTCAAAGTTCACGTATCTTCGCAGAGTGCTCGTGGCCCCTGAGGCTTGCAGTGTTGTTAGGACGCCGTGCTTTGTACGAAAGGTGCCACAGGGCGCTGGTGGAACTACACCAGGGACAGCAAATACTTGGATGTAACCAGGACAGATTGCAAATTATAGTTGATGTATGTTAAGTTGATTTGAAGACTCCAATCACTGTTAGGTCTATAGTAGAGGAAATTAGATGATACATATATATACATATATGATATATACATATATATGTTTTTATGATACATACATATGATATATATATATATATATATGATATATATATATACATATAGTTTCTGCGGGTCATTGACCAACATGTAACTGGGAGCAACAGAAATGATCTCGGGAAATCATACCGAAGATGTTCCCTAAAAAAAGCCCGGGGTTCGCCCACATTGAAACAACACATCCAGACAATATGATATACTTGCTGGTTGGTGGTTTGGAAGATTTTTTTTATTTTTCCATGTATTGGAAATGATAACCCCAACTGACTTTCATATTTTTCAGAGGAGTTAAAACCACCAACCAGCTTATGACCAGAGGATGAATGAAAACACTGCCTATACGCAGTTTTTTTTGACTTTAAGTTTTCAGGATTCAGCGTTTTAATTTAGGGTTGTAGGTTTTAGGGTTTCAGGGTTTTAGGGTTTGTTGCTTTAGAAAGTTAAAAACTTAAACCTTAGGCAGGGATTTGAGCATGTCAAAGGATATGCGGGATTCGCTGCGGGCAAACCTAGGGTTTGCAGCGAACATGTTTAAATTCATCTGGATGAAACACAATAAAACGCATCACTGTGTTGATTTTGTGTACTTAATTTGTTGGAAATCCAATCATTAGATTGGGATTGTGTGTTTTTTTCATGTTTCAACATCCAAAAACAGTTATGGCCCGAAATACCAGTTATAAGATTTATACTAACAAAACCCCATTTACAGAACGTATAATCCCAAAATAAGCAGCTATTTCACCATTTATAACCCATATGCGAACCATGGTGCTGGAATATGCTGCTGGACTGATTTGCAGCGGCTTGTTGCCACAGCAGCATCCCAAATCTCAGAGACTTGCGGCTTTTGTTGGCTCGAAGGATTGATGTGTTGCTGTTGATGTTCCAAGTATTTTGATTAAGACAATAACAAACCATCCCCCAGTCATCACCATGTTTATAGGTGGTATGGTTGCCATCAAAAATTGGGTGGTTAACATGGCATTGTTTTACCCAAGGATTTTTTGTTTCTTTTCTGAAGATCCGGTGTTCAAACATACGTCAGGTGGAAATCATGTCCTAATCAACTACAGTCTTTGCTGAAAACTTTGGTCTCATTGTGTGGTTCGATGTTGCCGCCCCCGTTGGAAATCCTTAAGTAATGCTCCAAGTACATGTCTCGTTCCCAAGTGGTTGCGGCGAGACTCTGGCGCTTCCACAAAACTCTACAGTGGGTGAGCTGAAAGTTCTGGTGCAGAAGTCATTCAGGCAAGGATTTCTGAAGCTTCTCACAGAGAAGGGACACGTCCTGACCAATCCTGAAGACTCTTTGCTCACTGCGGGAATCCAAGAAGGAGCGCATTTAACAGTTGTTGCACAACAGCCCAAAGTGGCAGCAAAAGCAGAAGCTTTTGCAATATGGTGCTGTGGGGGTCATGGAATTGTGACTTGGGGCAATCCATACTATGGTGGCGACAGCTCTGCAGTTCGAGATCAGCTCAAGAATGTGCAGGAAGTTCAGGCCACACTAGGGGCATTTGCTGCCATCTTGGCAGATGGATCCGTCGTTACCTGGGGTGCTCCAAACCGTGGTGGCGACAGCTCTGCAGTTCGAGATCAGCTCAAGAATGTGCAGGAAGTTCAGGCCACACTAGGGGCATTTGCTGCCATCTTAGCTGATGGATCCGTCGTTACCTGGGGTGCTCCAAACCGTGGTGGCGACAACTCTGCAGTTCGAGATCAGCTCAAGAATGTGCAGCAAGTTCAGGCCACAGGAGGGGCATTTGCTGCGATCTTAGCAGATGGATCAGTCGTTACTTGGCGCGATCCAAGTTTTGGTGGCGACAACTCTGCCGTTCGAGATCAGCTCAAGAATGTGCAGCAAGTTCAGGCCACAGGATTTGCATTTGCTGCGATCTTAGCAGATGGATCAGTCATTACTTGGGGCGATCCAGGCCTTGGTGGCGACAACTCTGCAGTTCGAGATCAGCTCCAGAATGTGCAGCAAGTTCGGTCCACAGGATTTGCATTTGCTGCGATCTTAGCAGATGGATCATTCGTTACCTGGGGCAGTCCAAGCGATGGTGGCGACAGCTCTGCAGTTCGAGATCAGCTCAAGAATGTGCAGCAAGTTCGGTCCACAGGAGGGGCATTTGCTGCCATCTTATCTGATGGATCCGTCGTTACCTGGGGTAATCCAAACCGTGGTGGCGACAGCTCTGCAGTTCGAGATCAGCTCAAGAATGTGCAGGAAGTTCAGGCCACAGGAGGGGCATTTGCTGCCATCTTAGCTGATGGATCCGTCGTTACCTGGGGTGCTCCAAACCGTGGTGGCGACAACTCTGCAGTTCGAG